CAAACCCTATTGAAATTGGGTAAAATCGGTTGAGATTAAAATATAGCTCCCATATATATTTTCGATCGATTTTAGGTAAATAGTGCACCAAAGTCCCTATATATCCTTCCATTGTCACGAAATTTGGCAAAGTGTACTGAATTGAGTCTAGAATGACGTGTGTTAAATTTCGTGAAAATCTTTCGATTTGCACGAAATTTGGCATTGTGTACTGAATTAAGTCTAGAGTGATGTGTGGTACGTTTCAGGAAGTCGGTTTAAAATCCATATAGCTCCCACATATACATATATATTCATCCGATTTTACATAAATGGTGCACCAAACTCCTAATGTTTGTCTGATTAACACGAAAGTTTGCAGGACGTATCAAATTGAGACTTGAATGACGACGTTGCGGTTTCGTATGTATTTCGAACGGATGTCTGATTGAGATAAAATTTTTATCAGTGCGACGTACCGAATAGCGTGTATCAATTTTTCTATATATCGTTTTCCATAAATTTGTCCCATGGTTTGCAGACGACTCTAAATCTGCCTAAATGAAATGAAACTTTGCATAGGTTATGTTCCTTCGATGTGAACGTCATATAGTCGCCCCAGTCCGACTTTACTACTTTCCTTAATGGTTTATATTTATAATATCTTTCCTGAACAAGAAAATTATCCTTATAGATCAATGTTTTGACATAACCTCCATATAAGGTTAAGATCTCAAAATACCGAAAACTAGACGGTATTTTGAGATTTTAGACGCATTTTTCAACTGAAAATGCTCTAATTTGGTATTATTTTGGATGCGGACATATTTCTATGTAGAAATTTATGAATATAGGTTCTGGTAATTTTGAAGGTTTTAACTGTACCTTCATATTAAAGTGGCCCAATTTGATATTCAAGGTTAGTGGAAACTGACATTTCTATTTAGATAATTACACTGTGCGACAAGATTTTGGGAGATGTAAAATTTATATTGGAAATGTGTATATGAAAACCCAAGAAGGAAAAATTACATTTCTGCATTAAGATCGAGCATTAAAATCGAATGCGAAAATTTGTATAATTAGAGTCCAGTTCAATAAATTATGGACGAAAATGACATACAAGAAATCGAGTTAGAAGGAATGTTCTAAAAACAAAATTCTGCATTCGATTTTGATGCAGAAATATATTACTATTTTATTCCCTCCGCCACTTTGGGTATATTCAACAGATGCATCCTTAAAGACGTCGCATTGAAATTCTATTTTTATCTAAATGTGAACCGACTTAGACCAATAAATCATTCTATGCTCAATTTTGTACGTTGTGCAAAATATCGTATCAATTTGACAAACTTGACATAAAATATATATGAAAGCTATATCCAAATCTAACTTCAGTATGTTGTGCAAAATTTTGCGTCAATCGGCCTAACTTTGGGTCGTTGATGGAGCATTTACTTAAAATCGGACAAAACTATATATGGCTCCCATATATAGTTTTGTCCGATTTTAAGTAAATGCTCCATCAACGACCCAAAGTTAGGCCGATTGACGCAAAATTTTGCACAACATACTGAAGTTAGATTTGGATATAGCTTTCATATATATTTTATGTCAAGTTTGTCAAATTGATACGATATTTTGCACAACGTACAAAATTGAGCATAGAATGATTTATTGATCTAAGTCGGTTCACATTTAGAAAGAGATCATCCAATTTCATGTCAATGCTTCTTCAAAAATACGACATCTGCTACGATATATCTGTTGAATATACCCAAAGTGGCGGAGGGAATAAAATAGTAATATATTTCTGCATCAAAATCGAATGCAGAATTTTGTTTTTAGAACATTCCTTCTAACTCGATTTCTTGTATGTCATTTTCGTCCATAATTTATTGAACTGGACTCTAATTATACAAATTTCGCATTCGATTTTAATGCTCGATCTCAATGAAGAAATGTAATTTTTCCTTTTTGGGTTTTCATATACACATTTCCAATATACATTTTACATCTCCCAAAATCTTGTCGCACAGTGTAATTATCTAAATAGAAATGTCAGTTTCCACTAACCTTGAATGTCAAATTGGGCTACTTTAATGTGAATGTACAGTTAAACCCTTAAAAATAACCAAAACATATATTCATAAATTTCTACATAGAAATATTTCCGCATCCAAAATCATGCCAAATTAGAGCCTTTTCAGTTGAAAAATGCGTCTAAAATCTCAAAATACCGTCTAGTTTTCGGTATTTTGAGATCTTAACCTTAACATCTTAACATCTGAACCGATTTTCCCAATTTCAAAAGGGTTTGTTCTTGGGCCAAATAGATGAGCTGAGACATATTTCATCCACATCGGACAATAAATGCAAACTGTACTTTGGCTATAATATAAATCATAAAATGATTCTATGCATATTCTCAAAAAGAACCATGGGTATATCTCGTTTCATTCATCCCTAGTAAAAATGTTCCACCATTTTCTGACCATGACCGATCGATTTTGTCTCACAGTGTTATCAATATAGGCCAATGTTTTGAACGAATCCCTATAGAATGAACGAGCCCAATTTTCGATATTTTGAGGGTCTCCCCAACCGCAAAGATTCCAGGTTTTTGGCATATTTGGTTCACAATTTGCATCTCGAACTATGTTTTTCTTTCTCAAAATAAGATAAAATTCGAAATTGAGACAAGCAGTCCGGCACATCTGGTACTGACACTTTTAATACCCTGCAACTAACAACTGAATGCACCTAACAAAAACAAAACAAAATATTTTTTTACTGCGAATTGTCACTTTTCCAACGAGCATAAATATGAATTTTTTTGATCGATACATTACGCCATCTGCCGAAAATATAATGGATTTCTTATTCCCCATCCTAATATTACCCAGGATAGGAATACATATAGGTTCCTGCGGATCTATATTCCGAGCTCAGTAGAAGTTATGTAGCGTATCATACGGTCGGCCCCGTCAGCTCATTGTTTATAAAATAATTTATGATGTCAATATTTCATAGCCAGTACTGGTATTGGAAAAAAAAAAATAATTTATTATAAAAACAAGTAAAAAGTGTCAGTCGGTGTTGCCGACAGATATATACCCTCACCCTATGATTTGCGGAGGAGGTATTCGGACTTATACACTGGTTTTATTATTCCCTTTATAATGTATATGTCTAATTAAAGATGATTGGCCATTTTTGAAGGACTTGATCTATTTGGTTCAAATCGGACATTCCATTCGTCTAATACTGTATTTATAAATATTGGAAATCTTGACCATTTGTGTGTGAGGTACCAGAAGGAGTGGACCAATGAGTCCCATCTTTAGACTTGATCTAGACTTGGTAAAGATAATAGGTTGTGCAAAGTTTGGATCGATACAGACATTTCATTCGCCTAATATTGGTTTCATAAATATTTAAAATGTTGACCATTTGTGGAGAAGGTACCAGAAGGGTCCCATTTTCAAACTTGATCTATTCTTGGCTATCAAAATAGGTTGTGCAAAGTTTGGTTCAAATCGGACATTTGGTATTGGATTTATAAATATTGAAAATGTTGACCCTCTGTGGGGAGGTACCAGAAGGAGGGGACCAATGGGCCCCATCTTCCTACTTGAATTAGGCTTGGTAAAGATGATAGGTTCTACAAAGTTTCGTTAAAATCCAATAGTCCATTTGCATGTTATTATAAAGTTAATTTTTAGCACAATTTTGACCATTTTGTGGGGGAGTTACTAGAAGGAATGGACCAATGGGCCTCATTTTCAAACTTGATCTAGGCTTGGTAAAGATAACAGATTGTACAAAGTTTGGTTCAAATCGGAAATTTCATTAGCTTGATATTGGATTTATAAATATTGAAAATGTTGACCCTCTGTGGGGGAGGTACCAGAAGGAGGGGACCAATGGGTCCCATCTTTCTGCATGATCTAGGTTTGGTCAAGATAATAGGTTGTTCAAAGTTTCGTTAAAATCGATTATTTTGTTTGCATGTTATTATAAAATTAATTTTTAGCACAATTTTCACCATTTTTAGGGGAGATACCAGAAGTAGTGGACCGATATTCGCTCTCTTCGAAGTTAAACTAAGTTTGGAAGAAATATTAAGATGTGCAAAGTTTGGATGAAATCAATTATTCCCTTCGAGAGTTATCGTGCGCACCAGCCAGACAGACGGACAACAGATGGACAGACGGGCGGACAGACGACGGACGGACATGTGAAAATCGATTCCAAATTTTCTGAAACGGATTTCGTCTAAAACCAATATTTCGATGAGGCACATTTTCACCGTATCAAAGTTTATATAATCTCATTAGCCATAAGGCTGACGGTATAATAAAATTATAGTTTTTTATCTTTCTATAGCTTCTGATCTGATCTCAGATCCTCATCATTTCTCTTAGTTTTTTTGGTATTATCCTCCGGAATTGCATATTTTAATAACTTCTTAAAATATTTCAATCAAAATATATTTCAATTTCATTTATCGAAAGGGTTAATATAAAGGCGTTCTATTTCCCACTATTGAGGAAATGTCTATTTCATGTACCCACAATTTGTCAACAGTGTGTGAAGAAAATAAAATAATTAAAATGTAATTGTCAAATTAACAACAACTACAATGTAATTCAGATAAACAAAAAATCAAACAATTGCACATCACACAGTCTGTGATTTTTTTATTGAATGCTTTATTTAAAAAAACAATTTTAAAATTATTTAAAGCACTAATTATCGAATTACAAAAAAATATTTAATTATCTTAAAATTTCACTAAAAAAATTGTATGATTTAACTAAATCAAATCATTATTATTTTTATTGGTAACGTTTTTAACGAAAACAAAAAATCGATAAATAAATAAAATATATGTGTGTGTTCTTCCGTGGGTGTAGTTTTTGATGAGTGGTTTTAATTTTTCTCTATTGGTGGTGATGGGGGAAGAGTAGTAGGTGTAGTTGTGTGTTGCCTTAAGTCTCTTTTTTTATTAAAAACTATGAACTCTTGCTGGAAGCTGTTGGACGTTTCGGTACTTTTCCAGCGGTGCCATTTTTCTTGACACTCGACTCGCTTGATGAGTCTCCCAAGCCAGGACGTCGGGGCGGCATTCGTTCGTTGACGGCATCCAAACCCTTGGCTTCGGCAAATGAATGGATTTCTGGTGTGGCGCCCAAGCCTTGAAGAGCTAAAAAAATAAGAATTAAATAGAATACAATTATTGCTGTCATAAAATGTCAATTGACAGATTGTTCAATGTAAATTGCCATATAAACTTGCATGAACATGCAAGTTTTAAGTGTTTCACGTGATTATACAACACGTGTGATGGTGTCAGTTGTTTGTTGTTATTCTTTTCACAATTTCATGCAAGTTTATAGTTTTAATTGTTCACATTGGCAAGATTATAAAAAACTACAATAACTTAAAGATGATGATTATGATTATATTGCCTGTCTATATCAATATTAGCAAGTTGTTATTTTTTGTCGAATGACATTTACGATTCGTGCAAATCTGTCAAGTGAATACTTACCGCTTCGCAATGAGTCTCTGCCACCAGATAAGGCACCCACGGGTAAAGCACCGGTCGGTGTAAGTCCCTTCAAAGCCAGCACAGATTCAGATTCTTCTCTGTAAAATGGGGAAACCATAAAATATAAAATTAATTATTGCATTACTGTATATTTTTTATAAAAAAAATATTCCTAAAAACTAACAAGGCGTGGATTTTTTTAAAGAAAATTTTTCTGAGACCTATCAAGGCGTGGATTTTTTAAAGACTATTTTTCTGAGACCTAACAAGGCGTGGATTTTTTAAAGAAAATTTTTCTGAGACCTATCAAGGCGTGGATTTTTTAAAGAATATTTTTCTGAGACCTAACAAGGCGTGGATTTTTTAAAGAATATTTTTCTGAGACCTAACAAGGCGTGGATTTTTTAAAGAATATTTTTCTGAGACCTAACAAGGCGTGGATTTTTTAAAGAATATTTTTCTGAGACCTAACAAGGCGTGGATTTTTTAAAGAATATTTTTCTGAGACCTAACAAGGCGTGGATTTTTTAAAGAATATTTTTTAAAGAATAGTTTCCTATCAAGGTGTGGTTTTTTAAAGAATAGTTTCCTATCTAAGTGTGGCTTTTATAAAGAATAGTTTTTCCAAAGACTATCTTGCCTAAATTTTTTAAACTATATTTTTCTGAGACCTATCAAGGCGTGGATTTTTTAAAGAATATTTTTCTGAGACATATCAACGCGTGTATTTTTTATACCCTTCAACACACTGTGGTACAGGGTATTATGTATTTGTGCATATGTTTGTAACAGGCAAAATAAAACGACATAGAGAATATGTACAGCTCATTTGTTTGGCCCAAGGACGAACCCTATTGAAATTGGGGAAAATCGGTTCAGATTTAGATATAGGTCCCAAATATATTTTCGTCCTATTTTATGTAAATGGTGTACTAAAGTCCCTATATATCTTTCGATTTGGCACAGCGTATGCAATTAAGTCTAAGTTTCGTGAAAATCGGTTCTGATTTAGATATAGCTGCCATATACAGTTTTGTCCGATTTGCACAAAATTTGGCGTAGCGTACTGAATTAAGTGTAGAATGGTGTGTGTTGAGTTTCGGAAAAATCGGTTCATATTTAGATATAGCTCTCACATATAATTTCGTTCGATTTTATGTAAATGGTGCACTAAAGTCTTTATGTATCTTTCGATTTGTACGAAATTTGGAATAACTTACAAAATTGAGCCTAGATTGAAGTCTGCCAAGTTTCGTTAAAATCGGTTCATATTTAGATATGGCTCACATATATAGTTTCGTCCGATTTTATCTAAATGGTGCACCAAAGTCCCTATATATCTTTCGATTTGCATGAAATTTGGCATAACGTATTAAATTGAGACTAGAGTGATGTCTGCCGAGTTTCGTGAAAATCAGTTCAGATTTAAATATAGCTTCCATATATATTTTTGTCCGATTTTATGTAAATGGTGCACCAAAGTCCCTATATGTCTTTCGATTTGCACGAAATTTGGCATAACGTATTGAATTGAACCTAGAGTGATGTCTGCCGAGTTTCGTGAAAATCGGTTCAGATTTAGATATAGCTTTCATATATATTTTCGTCCGATTTAATCTAAATGGTGCACCAAAATTTCAATATTTGTCCGATTGGGACAACATGATGCAAAGAGTACTGAATTATGTCCAGACAGATGTCTGTGAATTTTTGTACAAATCGGTTCATATTTAGATATATCTCCCATATATAGTTTCATCCCATTTTATGTGAATGATGCACCAAATTCCCAATATTTGTCCAATTGGGACAACATTTTGCACAGCGCACTGAATTAGGTCCATACTTATGTATGCGAAGTTTTGTAGGATTCGGTTCAGATTTAGATATAGCTCCCATATATAGTTTCGTCCGATTTTATATAAATGATGCACCAAACTCCCAATATTCGTCCGATTGGGACGAAATTTTGCAAAGACTACTGAATTATGTCCAGACTGATGTCTGCGGAGTGTTGTTAAAATCGATTCAGATTAAGATATAGCTCCCATATATAGTTCTGCCAATTTTATGTGAATGATACACCAAACTCCTAATATTTGTCCGATTGAGACAAAATTTGGATAGCGAATGCAATTGTGGAAAGAATGATGTGTGATAAAGTTTATTGAAATCGGTTCAGATTTAGATATAGGTCTTATATATATTTTCGTCCGATTTTATGTAAATAGTGCACCAAAGAGCCTATATTTATTCGATCTACAAGAAATTTGGTAGAGGGTATTAAATTGAGTTAAAGTGATAACAAAAAACTAATGATGTATGCAACGGTTACTCATTTAGGTCCATGTGGAGTTTTTTCAATTGGTTCAAATATCTATGTAGATAGCACATTTAATTTCGTCCGATTCCATCTCAATGGTCCTCCAAAGATTATATGTCTGTTCTATCTACAGGATATTGTATATATTATGATCTCATGTATGTACCCAAAGTGGTGAAGGGTATCATACCTTTCTTTACTGGTGATGGTCAATGACCTATCAAGGTGTGTTTTTAATAATATTTAATATTTAATAATTTATTTTTTTTTTTCAACTTACCTCAGTACCGAAAATACGCGGGACATTTTACCAATCGCTCTAATCTTGTTTCGTATAATCTCCTTGCGTAGGGCTGAGACAGCAGCTGCTATAATCGTAAAAAATGAAAGCAAATGTTTAGTTATGGCATTGATATTTGTGGAAGCTCTAAATAGCTTTCATTTTATAAGTGTTGCAATCTATACGACATTGAGCTTTAGCGACATCTACATTTAGCGTTTTTACTAGGAAAGCTTTTTTACAAAAGCTTTTGTGCTATGACTATATATTGGGTTTGCTGTTAGCTTTTGCTACACACAGAGAAATTGCGATAAAAATATTTTTTGGCTTTGCAACAAACATCAGATAAATCCGACAACACGGTACATATATAAAGCTGCATCTATAAAAAGCTTTGTAGTGCATTTAAAATGCTCTAATATTTGCCAACATTCATTTTCGGCCTACTGTAGCGGCACTTGTGCATGAGAAAAATCATCGCATCACTTACATTTCTTGGGTTGTTCTGAATGGTTCGCGGGCACCAGAACAATTTTCTTTCGCATTTCTGATATATATTTGACATGCATACGGACATCGATACATACAAATTTTTGCAGATACATATATAGGAATAGTTTGAAGAAGAATTATATAGATATCATTAGATACATTTAAAGATAGATATTATACATTTTTTTTAATAATTCAAAAGAACTATAAATTTTATTATAGCGAACAATCGAAGTAGGTAATTATTAGTATATTCAGGGCATGGCAACAGAAACGAATACCAAGGTATTGTGGAAAATCCTCCTCCATTTTTAAAAAATAAAAATGTTATAATTTTAAATTTTTATAAAAATTTATAAAATTATTTTTTAAAGCAAATACATTTTTATAGTCACCATTTGCCAGCACCCTGTATAAACTTTTGCTAATTATTATTATTTGATTTAATTTGTTGGTTTTGTTGTTTTTGTGATTCAAAAAAAAATGAATAGTCATAACGGACTAGTCGTTTATGGGCCAAATTTTACAACATCAAATTTGTATTTACAAACCATAGAAAGAAATGTCACAACATTGAAATGTTTATAGATTTACACATTTAAATGACGAACAGAAAAAAAAGAAAATATTTATCTATGTATATACGACTACACTTCGGGATATAATGATGTACACACAACAAAATATATGAATATTAGCAAAACAAACGAAACGTGTATGGTAGATCAACTAATATCGATGCACAGTGGTCATTTTGGTATTTATACACTAAATATGAATATTTTTCATATTTTGGCTACTTCACTCTATACTCGGTTTCCCTGTTCCCATAGGATGGCAGTTTGTACATTTTCACACAAAAGTTCGATACCCTACCCTATATCAAATATCATGATTTTTGGATCATAATACTGGTCTCTAGAGCGACTAGAAAAAATCACTACAGTTCTAGAGCGACTAAAGTTAAAAAACACAACCGGACACCCAAATCACTGTAAAAATTTGGATATCAGTAGACACCTACAAACTAATATCTCAAAGAGGGGATCTTAAGATGCGGCTGAACTACAACAATATCACAGGAGAGCAGTCTCCACAAATAGCAAAAATAAGTTAAGAAAACCACAAAGAAATGCAGTTCCCAGAATAAAACGGTATATGATGCAGAAAGCTAAAAAGATGTATTAGGAGCCGAGCTATAAAATATAAAGCGGGTATTTCTATGAAATTAGCAACGTAAGAAACCTCCTAAAATAACTAATGAACAATAGCAGAACAATGGATTATACACTGAATATGTCATGTAACCCTTCCAGCTTAATGGAAGCAGGGGAAGCTCTAAATACCGACGACAGAACCGCTTGGTAGGAAGAAAGACTGCCTCGAACGTGGAAAAAGCCCACCCATATATAAAATTCTAGCAAACCTTAATGGCCTGGTTTCAGGCCAAATATTTAGAAGCGATGTGGACAATACTAAGAGTCAACTGCCTAAGAGTCATAATATATAAAACTGACGTATCCCTTGTATCTGTTCATCGATTTCAAGAAATCTTTCGTATCATCAGACGAACTGACATAAGGGAGTCATTGAGCAAAAAGGCCGTACCCCAGAAAATACTCCGAATAATAAGAACGATGTATAAGGACGTAGAACTCTCAATTATTTAAAATGGGGACATAAACAAGATCATGAGAATGATATATTTCGTCTCTGTCACAAAGTGTCTAACATGCATTAACAATTAATAAAAATGTTAAACAAAGTGAGAGCAGTATTCGGACGACAGCCTGATGTATGGAGAACCTTATATATATCTAAGAAAGCCAAGCGTAAAATATTCGAATAATATATAAAATCGGCAGTGAAACCTGAATTGCGTCTATCATGATCACACAAAAGCTATATGTATTCATAAAGAAATGGCACAGATTCGTATGCAAATATTCTAGACCAACACCATAAACCCAAGGAACCCATAGAAAAGCAGATTAAACGTAGGAAATGGATTGGTCACGCCTTAAGGGAATAGATTCATAGAATGCGCTTGAATGAACTCATCAAAAACAACATAAACCTCCATGGGGAAATCCAATAACAATGGATCAACAGCATCTCTTCCTTACATAGAAATATTTTCGAATATTTTTACTATTCAGTATAGACTTTCCAACACCTTGTTCAGATTCCTTTCACCGTGGTTTGTGTTGTGATGTTTGGCTTATAATTGTGGCCTATAAATCGAAAAAAATAAGTTTTCAATCCATTTCTTTCTAAAATGTTTATCCGATCATTACCGAAAATTATAGGAGTTGTCCTTGACCATAATTGGAACATTTCAAAGAGATCAGCGCTATATTTCCGCCGTCTAGTGTAGTAATGGGTTATTCACCACACTGTGGTACAGGGTAATTATGTCTTTGTGTATATGTTTGTAAGAGGCAAAAGGAAACGAGATAGACACATAGTTCCTTTTGAGAATATGCGTAGATTCACTTTCTGAGTCGATTTATGCATGTCCGTCTGTCTGTTCGTACGTGTAAACAATTTACAGGTCGCATCCGATTTGGATGGCCCAAGGACGAACCCTATTGAAATTGAAGAAAACCCTATTGAAATTGAAGAAAATCCCGTATATAGTTTCATCTGATTTAAGGTAAATGTGGAACGAAAGTCACTATATATCTTTGGATTTGCACGAAATTTGGCACGGCGTACTCCATTGTGTTTAGAATGACGTGTGTTAAGTTTCGAGAAAACCGGTTCAGGTTTAGATATAGCTCCTATATATAGTTTTTTCCGATTTTATGTAAATGGGGCTAATTAGAGGTTGTTTCTTCTTAAGGATAAAATTGTAACATTCCGCCTTTTCAAATGAAACCAATGGCCCATTTATAGGGCACAATAAAAAACATTGGACCTTTATTACCGGGAAAAAACGTTTTTATACCCTAAGCTTTTGGCTAATGAGGGTATATACACTTTGATACGGCAATGTGTCTTATCGAAATATTGGTATTAGACCCCATGTTTCTTTGAATCAAATCTGACTCAAATAATTTGGAGTCGATTTACAAATGTCCGTCTGGCTGGTGCACACGATAACTCTCGAAGGGAGTAACCTATTTCATCCAACCCTTGCAAATCGTAATATTTCTTCCAAACATAAATCAGGATCGAAGATGGGACCTACCGTTCCACTTCTTCTAGTACCTTCCCCACAAAACTGTCAACATTTTGTTCAATATTAATTATATCTTACACAACTATGTTGTCATGGTATTACAATTTTGGGCAAACCCCAGATTTTCTAGCGCCGCGAAATATTGGTCCTATACCCACCTTTAAGTATACCGATAGTCTCATATCTCGACTAGTTGATAGTATATCCAATTTTCGGTGATTTTAAGATGATATTTGAATCGAAAACAAAATTTTCTAGTCGCTCAAGAGGACATAATTGTATGCAGAACGTCACATATTTTACATGGTGTGGTGGATCTGACCAAATACTTAGAACTGCTGTTTAGATGATGATCGTCAATATTCTGAGGGTTAAATCCCAAAACCTAAAGTGACCGAATTTTTTTTTTATGGCGTAAATATTCACCTCGGGAAAACAAGATTTGGAAAATATGCAGGGTTAGAAAGTGGAGCTTTTGCCCTATAATTGGTCAAGAGGGTGCAAAATAATATAATATTATAATTATTATAACATGACTGAATAATGTTGGAAGATGGGACTTATCGGTCCACAGTACATCCCTCACAAAGGTTCGTTTTTTTGAAACATGGAAATCTAATATTCAGCGAACGAAATGTCCTATTCAATCAAAATTTTGCACATCGTAATATATTTATATTAACCAGATCAATATCGAAGATGGTCCACTCCTTCTGACTTTATATTTTCTTTTCCAGTAAAAAATGAAAAATTGTTAATTTTGTATGTTATAGCGTATCCTTATACATTTTTGGTATTCTATGTTGAACAAATATCATTTTCCCCTTACAACATTCCATATATAACCACTGTGCACATTCAAAGTGTTAACATTTGTAAATATTTATTGTTGTTTTCTTTTAATTACAAACACATTTTCGAATTAGAAAATATTTATTATTTTCTTTACGTTTCGTTGTGCTTTGATATATAAGAATATTAAACGATATAAAAATATTTATGTATGTTTATATTTATAAAAAAAAAAAATAAATAAAAACGGAAATATTATCATGCCATACTGACCTTCCTCTAGTTCATCATCTGGACCGCTTAGAAGTTCGTCATCCGAGCAGATATTTAAAATGCTCACAAGCATATCGGTAACCTAATGGAAAATGGGAAAATAAAACAACAAAAATATAATCAAAATGGATGATCACATTATATTTTGATGATTAGTTTGCGACTAAATTTTCCCTTTAATCTGTTTAATGAATTTATGATGGAGGTGGGAGGCAAAAAAAAAAAAAAAACAAAATAATAATAAATTTTTTATGATAAATTAAAAAATATGAAGACGATTTTTATGGATACCATGCATGCCTTTGTGTATGTGTGTGTTTGAGTAAATGTGTAAATGCCTCTGGCCTATAACTTACCTTCTCGCCAACAAATGGCAATGACCATGTGAAGACATCCATAAAATTTGGCAGCCAATATGGATGGGGTGAACAATTAAATTGTCGAATATTCATAACATTATTCTCATATTTAAGTACAGCTGCCTTTTGTCAAATGACAATATTTTATATTGGTTGTATGTACATGGTCCAAATTTTTTGTTGTTTGTTGTTGTATATGTAAGATGAAAAAAGAAAGAAATAAAAAAAAAACAAAAACGAAATATTATAAATTTTTTGGTACATATGTCACAATTGCATGTTAATAGAATATTGTATATTTATAGCTACATAATATATTTTTTAAATATTTCTGTCAATGAAATATGTCCTCAGATACTATGTAGATTTGCATTTTTGTATATCATACTTTAATGACTATGAAAAGTACTTAAATGCCACTCAACAAATTAAGAATATTTTTTCGGGGTATATCAACACAAGAAGTAAAAATGACGTTGAGGTCGCCAGGACCGAACTTTTTATACCCTCTACCATTAGGTGCCCATTTAAATTGGGATGTTCATATGAGCCCCATGTATTTGATAGGTTTTTTTGCAGTCACTTTGGAAAATCGATTATGACCTACAGCATGCCACATTGCTGTTTTTTTTAATTGCTACACAATTACCACTGAACTCAAACTATCCGCGGATCTATACACTGAGGCAGGGAAACATTAGAGGATTTTTACACTCTCTTGATCGATTAGAGATCAACAGATCAGCTTTCTTATCCTGGCATCTATCCGGGATCACGTTTTCCCAGAGTGAACTTTTACGTTACAAGATTCCAACTTTGATATTTTACACACAAAATTTGGGGTTCCTTTGACACCCTACATATTAACCGATCCTTATCAAGTATTTGGTGAGATATTTTTCCCCGTGTAAAATTTGTGATCTTCGGGTTGTAATAGTGGACTTTAGAGCGTATCAAATGTCAAACACTCCTCTTGAATATACTACCGAAATTCTCCGGTCTATGTCTTTCAGAAGCAATTATATTCGATATAGAATGCAAATTTTCTCATTTTCCTCACAAAAGTTTGACCCGCTAAATTTTGACCGATTATCATCCAAAGCACCATGCTTATTCCTTGGACAGATCCCCCTATCCTTTAAAATTTCGTGATGTTCGGGTCATAGTTATGGCAGCCAGAAAAATATACAAAAATAAAGTTTTTGGTCTAAATATTAACGGATGATTACCATTGGGGCCTTCTATGGTTCTAACGAACCTACATTCAAAATTTCCTAACGATTGGTTTATAACAGTGACCTGTACCTTATTTACAAATTGTAATGGACAGAAGAACGGACACACATGTCTATATCGACTCAGCTAGTCAAGATATGACGGTATACTAAATGGTGGGTCTATGACCAATATTTCTCATCGTTACAAACTCTTGGGGACGAACTAGGGTGTAATGTGCGAAACCTTTTTATGGAGGCAATGTCAAAAGATGAGTCTTATTAAAAATATCCTGCACAAAAGGTTCACGAAAATACGAAGAAACATTTCACTGTCCAAGAAACTGAAATGCTAAATTACAGCCTTATCGGATGGTGAATGCGCCTAGGACCATAAAAATATAGAAAATAAGGCAGAGACATGGGAGAGATTACGTGTCATGGGATATATTACAAGCCGATAAGTTCGACGGGCCAATATTTTTACCCTTCATGAAGTGGACATTTAAAATGATAAAATGCTGCGAATTTTCTACAAAACTACAGACCTTCAGAATGGAATATTGGGTCAGGACCTTGAATATATATTGCAAATGTTCTCTGAAGAAGTTGTTTACCCACCCGGAATACCAAATTAGAGCCAATTCGTAATGCTGATATATCGTCACTTCTGTTGGGGAATGTGCCCAGGAGCATATAAATATCCAAATAGTAGTTGGGAACTATACCAAGAAATCCACCGATACTTATAATTTTGGTAGGAAAATTTGCACTCAATGATACCGAATAAAGAGGGGTACAGCCAAATTGCATGGAAATCGTGCCCAAAATTTCTTATATTGTGACTATCCTAAAAATGGACCATTATTGATAATTTATTCTACCCAATATGAACCCAAAATAAGTTGCAGTTATTTGGTTGAAAAAAGTTGGATCCAGTCAATTTGATTCTGCTTCTAACTCCTGGTTCGAAAAATTATGCGACCTGTACTGGTTACGTCCAAAGTGAAGACGGAGTTGGGTGAGTAGGTTTGGCTTCGTCGTTGAAGATATTTAACGTGCCATGTGGACAATTAGCACATTTCGGGCAGATATTGTCCACCGTGTTCTCTGAAGAAGTTGTTTACCCACCCGGAATACCAAATTAGAGCCAATTCGTAATGCTGATATATATCTTCACTTCTGTTGGGGAATGTGTCCTGGAGCATATAAATATCCAAATAGTAGTTGGGAACTATACCAAGAAATCCACCGATACTTATAATTTTGGTAGGAAAATTTGCACTCAATGATACCGAATAAAGAGGGGTACAGCCAAATTGCATTGAAATCGTGTCCAAATTTTCTTATATTGTGACTATCCTAAAAATTGACCATTATTGATGATTTATTCTACCCAATATGAACCCAAAATAAGTTGCAGTTATTTCGGTTGAAAAAAGTTGGATCCAGTCAATTTGATTCTGCTTCTAACTCTAGGTTCGAAAAATTATGCGACCTGTACTGGTTACGTCCAAAGTGAAGACGGAGTTGGGTGAGTAGGTATGGCTTTGTCGTTGAAGATATTTAACGTGTCATGTGGACAATTAGCACATTTCGGGCAGATATTGTCCACCGTGACCAATACGAATAGACCTCAATTGTGCCAGCACCTCCCAGGTTTGTGAAGGTAGTCGTTTGTGAATGAAAGTCGTTCGTGGTAGAAGCACTGATGGTCATGTTGCATATGTTCCGCTTGAGTAAAGTATAACAGTCAATTCTGGGTGGTACACCAAAATTTGTTTGTCTTCTGAGAACATCGAAAACATCTTAAGATAGTCGTCAAGTCCTTTCTCCAGCCAAATAATAAGTTTCAAAGTGTTATTATGCAGTCCTCATTTTCTGAAACCGTAAGTTACTTTTTAATTTGCTCGAAGGACATCTTTTTACACTTTTACCCGATCTTATATAAAGCAAAATCTAGTAATCTTGAATATTGATACCAAAGCCGGTAACGGTTAGCGTATAAGTATTGCCAACATGTATACGAGCGGTATGACTCTTTCAATATATTTTTAAATTATCTATAGATCTAGAGATAGGTACACAAGTACATGAGAGGAGTTCGAATAACAATTCTTTGACGCATACGATACGTCAAGATCCTTAACTACATGGTTGAGAGTCATCGCCAAGTTCAAGTCACCAACGAAGTTCTGTGGCAAGCTCTATCAAAGAATAACGTCATTTGGTACTGAGTTATGTAAATGCACATCACACAAAAACATAGAGATATTGTACCAACTCTGCTATTTGAACCTATATGGAACGTTGTATATTAATCCCAATCCTGATACCAGGTAGCGTATAAGCGTTGTCACCACGTATACGACAGATTTGATGTTTTGAATATATTCTTAAAATATCTATAGAAAGAGATACACAACTAGAGGAGAGGAATTCAACTAACACAGCTACCAATTATTTTTTTAATTTATTCACTCGGATGTCAAAATATGGAAAGGGTCTTAATTACGCTGTTCATATGCATCATACAGTCCAAGCCAGTGTTTCTCTTTCCGTTTCCGTTTTGGACCGAAAAACAAATAAATAATCAATTTGCTCCGATGGTTGGCCATTTCGAGCAATTTCACGCTAAACATTTGGAAGAATCCTGCTTGAATTTCAATGTTCGCCCGAAAATCTGAGTTTGTTCCCTTTTAAGGAACATAAATTCAAATTAATTCTATGATTGTAATTTTAGAGAACTTAGATATAGATCCAGGAGCGAATAAGTGTGGTCACAATTTATACGATAGGCAGACTTCTTTTAGAAAGAGGTACACAACTGCATGAAAGGTATTCGACTAACACTTCTAACAATCAAATGTGTATATTATTCACATGTATGGCATAATAAAGAAAATATCTTAACTACACCGTTCAAATACATCGGCTATTTTAAGCCATAAAATAAGTTGTGCGGACAGCCAACGCGAGAAGAACGTCAGCATTGTTGGACCTTAAATGAAGTAAATGCAAATCACATAAATTCAGATTAACTCCTTGATTACAACCTATGTAGAATTCTAAAGCCTATCACCGGTGGCGTATAAGTATTGTCACGACGTATATGTTAGGTATTTTAAAAATTAAAAAACCGTATATTTCAATTCATTTTGAAATAGATTGCAATACATATTCATATCAACTAAACAAAACTAAAACAAAATTTTTAAACGCAAATCCGCTATTATGGAAATTTAAACATTTCGAAAACGCATTTCGTAGCAATTAAAATGGCTATTATTCGACAATTCACCTGCAACCTCCAAAAAACGTATACATAATCAATACACATCTGATCTAATATTCATCGAACAAATGTTTATAAAATGAATTTCATTTATTGTAAATACCTTGTTGTTATAAACATCCAAATAATTGGGCGCCGAAAATATTGTTATCAGAGATGGAAAACCGGTAACCTGATTTTTGCGATACATGCGGTAGCTAGAAAATAATGTACATATAAATTGAAATTAAAAAAATCGTATTACGACGACAATGACCCACTTAAAATAGTGATTTGAATTGAAACTAAACGCAAACACAACTTACCCCGCATCTTGTGCTTCATGGGCTCTGACAACCGATAACAAATTATTCTTTTGTAGAAATTCACAGCAGGCCATATAGCTAAAAGAAAAGAAAAAAATAAATACATAAACATAATTAAAGAAGGCGGGTGGGCTGTATAGTAGGTAGGTAGTCAGGCAGGCTGCTGGCCGGCAATCATACAAACGATTATTATTTATTGTGGCAAAGAAACAATTAAATGCTAAAAATAAACTGCATCATTCATACCTGAAAAAGTACGAACAACCACGCACTGAATTGTGTGTAAAATAATCACTATTTTTTTCATTGCCAAAATCTTCCAACGGATCGGACCACAAGAGATCACACATGGGTCCAAAGGCGGGGGGTTCACGGAATCTGTTTAACTGAAATGGATTTTTATTTGTAAATACATTTTGTATATGCGAACACCTTTTCTGAGTTCCTCACTTTTTTGATATCATCGAGGGTAAAGATTTCAGGTGATAGACCTCCATGAATACACAGAAACTGTTGATTTAACAAAGCCGCCAATGGTAAACAGTCAAAAGCCTCCATACAGGCATCATAAATTTGAATTGAGTATTTTATTTCACCTGAAAAACAGAATTTTTATAAATTATTATTTTAAGCAGGGATATTTTCTGGAATAAAAAAAGGTTTTCTAAAAATATTTTTTTGGGCCCTATCAAGTCGTGGATTTTTTTTAAGAATAGACTTGGATTTTATAAAGAATATTTTTTTCCAAAGACAAGCAAGGTGTGCATTTTTTAAAGAATATTTTTTCCAAAGACCTATCAAGGCGTGGATTTTTTAAAGAATATTTTTTCCAAAGACCTATCAAGGCGTGGATTTTTTAAAGAATGTTTTTTCCAAAGACCTATCAAGGCGTGGATTTGTTAAAGAATATTTTTTCCAAAGACCTATCAAGGCGTGGATTTGTTAAAGAATATTTTTTCCAAAGACCTATCAAGGCGTGGATTTGTTAAAGAATATTTTTTCCAAAGACCTATCAAGGCGTGGACTTTTTAAAGAATATTTTCTCCAAAGACCTATCAAGGCGTGAATTTGTTAAAGAATATTTTTTCCAAAGACCTATCAAGGCGTGGACTTTTTAAAGAATATTTTTTCCAAAGACCTAACAAGGCGTGGATTTTTTAAAGAATATTTTTTCTAAAGACCTATCAAGGCGTGGATTTTTTAAAGAATATTTTTTCCAAAGACCTATCAAGGCGTGGATTTTTTAAAGAATATTTTTTCCAAAGACCTATCAAGGCGTGGATTTTTTAAAGAATATTTTTTCCAAAGACCTATCAAGGCGTGGATTTTTTAAAGAATATTTTTTCCAAAGACCTATCAAGGCGTGGATTTTTTAAAGAATATTTTTTCCAAAGACCTATCAAGGCGTGGATTTTTTAAAGAATATTTTTTCCAAAGACCTATCAAGGCGTGGATTTTTTAAAGAATATTTTTTCCAAAGACCTATCAAGGCGTGGATTTTTTAAAGAATATTTTTTCCAAAGACCTATCAAGGCGTGGATTTTTTAAAGAATATTTTTTCCAAAGACCTATCAAGGCGTGGATTTTTTAAAGAATATTTTTTCCAAAGACCTATCAAGGCGTGGATTTTTTAAAGAATATTTTTTTCCAAAGACCTATCAAGGCGTGGATTTTTTAAAGAATATTTTTTCCAAAGACCTATCAAGGCGTGGATTTTTTAAAGAATATTTTTTCCAAAGACCTATCAAGGCGTGGATTTTTTAAAGAATATTTTTTCCAAAGACCTATCAAGGCGTGTATTTTTTAAAGAATATTTTTTCCAAAGACCTATCAAGGCTTGGATTTTTTAAAGAATATTTTCTCCGAAGACCTATCAAGGCGTGGATTTTCAAAAGAATATTTTCTCCAAAGACCTATCAAGGCGTGGATTTTTTAAAGAATATTTTCTCCAAAGACCTATCAAGGCGTGGATTTTTTAAAGAATATTTTCTCCAAAGACCTATCAAGGCGTGGATTTTTTAAAGAATATTTTCTCCAAAGACCTATCAAGGCGTGGATTTTTTAAAGAATATTTTCTCCAAAGACCTATCAAGGCGTGGATTTTTTAAAGAATATTTTCTCCAAAGACCTATCAAGGCGTGGATTTTTTAAAGAATATTTTCTCCAAAGACCTATCAAGGCGTGGATTTTTTAAAGAATATTTTCTCCAAAGACCTATGAAGGCGTGGATTTTTTAAAGAATATTTTCTCCAAAGACCTATCAAGGCGTGGATTTTTTAAAGAATATTTTCTCCAAAGACCTATCAAGGCGTGGATTTTTTAAAGAATATTTTCTCCAAAGACCTATCAAGGCGTGGATTTTTTAAAGAATATTTTCTCCAAAGACCTATCAAGGCGTGGATTTTTTAAAGAATATTTTCTCCAAAGACCTATCAAGGCGTGGATTTTTTAAAGAATATTTTCTCCAAAGACCAGACCTATCAAGGCGTGGATTTTTTAAAGAATATTTTCTCCAAAGACCTATCAAGGCGTGGATTTTTTAAAGAATATTTTCTCCAAAGACCTATCAAGGCGTGGATTTTTTAAAGAATATTTTCTCCAAAGACCTATCAAGGCGTGGATTTTTTAAAGAATATTTTCTCCAAAGACCTATCAAGGCGTGGATTTTTTAAAGAATATTTTCTCCAAAGACCTATC